TAGCTGTGTAGGAAGTAGGCTGGGCGCCGAGCGCCAAGTAGGGAGATAGGGCCTGGACACTCATGTTGGTGGTAGCGAGAGCAAGCTCTCACTGATATTGGTTTTCAGTGTTACGATCCTTCATTGGTGTTATATTGGTGCATTTCTGCTTTCTGGACACTGTGATACTATCTGGCCTTCAATGTGATTGTGCTTTCTGGACGTTGTCATCTGGCTATTGCTCATTTTCCTTGCAATTGGTATCGGAGCTGGGTCGAACTGCGCTTCATTGATTCTTCGCAATAGCTGTTTGGTGCTTCGCATGGTGTGGGGCACTGATAAGGCTTGGGCGTTGAATGTAAGGTGGCCCAGGGTCGTGTGGGCGCGCCAGGAAGCTATGTGGTGACATTAGGGATGTACGCTGGATGATGAGAGCTCGCTGATGTGGCATTTAAGCTGAGATGGAACTGCATTCTGCTGTTGGTTGTGCCGAGGCAAAGACCGGTCATCATAAATGCACATCAGGTTGCCGGTGAGAAATATGTGGTTGGGGGCAGCATTATGAGGTACGTTGCTCTCTTTCGATATCTACCCTCTCCATTACTTCTTACCATGAGGAAGTGAGTTCTGTCTTGAGAGTCCTCTCAATGTGAGGTGTCGCGAGCGCTCAACCTTGAGAGTCGACATTCTTCCTGGGCAGCAAGCTGGTGGGAGACAGGCGATGCCTCTGAAGGGCCCTGGACGAAGCACTTGGGTCACGGTCACCATGCCAACCCGCTGGGACTAGTACACGCATGCTTTGCCGCAAGTCCTTGGTTCTGCTGCTGCGCAATAGAGGTCATGCAGGGCATGCCAGCCCTTTGGACATACGCTTACCGGACCGTCTTTAACTATTTCTGGTGGGGACTTGGTGTTGACTCTGGCTGTGATCGTCGTCTTGTCTGCGACGTTAAATAATTCTTGAGGACCTTGGGGGCTGTCCTTAAACTGCCTCTTGATCAGCCAGATGAAACCGGGTGTAAGGCTCGTTGCATGCGAGGATAAATAAGGTGCAGGGGCTGGAAGGTTCGACATAGACTTGGGGCACAGGGGTGGGCCGGATTGCACACCTTCAGGCACGCTGCTCAACCAGATGCTTAGGACATCGACACAAAGTGGCTACTCAAGAGGGATACAGGGGGAGGGTTGGATTCCGGTAACTGTTCGTTGTGACAACAATTAGATAAACTGCCATCTAGCATGCATCTCTGCAGGAAATATTATTTTTATTTTTGATTATTTAGTTGTTACAGACTTGACTGACAACTAACAGACAACTGCAGATAGATAGAAATCCTTGCTGCATGCAATCTGTTCCAGAGTAATCTAAAAATAGATTTAGTATTCCCTGTAGAACCTGACATTGATTGCTGGTTACCACTTGACTACTTCTTCTTACGCTTACCGAATTTAGAGTCAAACATTAATCGGTTGTGTCCTGCTGAGGTAGGATCCGGTGTGGGTTCTAGTTTAGACTACACACATTGTAGCTCATGAGTGAAGTTGTCAATAGGGAGGAGGAGGAAGAACTAGTCGAAGACCTTAGGGTCACTCGTAGAATCGCTCTCAGTTGTCAACTCACCTTTCAGGAGTTAGGTCCGAGAGACGAAAGGAGACTGCGAAGGGAAGCCAGGGCAAGGGAGATATTGTGGAGAGCAAGAGCAGCTGCAGCTATTGCTGGGGCTAGGATCGAGGTCAGCACAGGCACAACTATGGTTACTTCTTCCACAGTGTCACAGGCCGTGTCCCAGGCCTCTTCGTCAGGAACGAGTCAGAGTACCCAAGGTATGGTTAGTCAATCTGTTGGCTTGCAAGTCAGCCAGCAACCTCAACTCTCAGCAGAGGATTATGAGATCCTCCAGGCAGAAGAACTTCCTAATGAGTTGCAGAAGCAATTGAGAGAGGCAGCGGAGAGAAGGCAAAGGGCTATACTTAGAAAAGCTAGACTAGGGAGTAGGAGATTAGAAGCATTTGATGAGTCCACACTTGATCCTGCTATGCAAGCGCTGCGTAACTCGCTGCTTTGCGTGGCTGAAATGCAGGTTGTCCAGCAGGAAGTGCTGGCTGAACTAGTGGCAGGCCAGAGACAAATTCTGGCTGCACTGCAGACTCCTCGTCCTATGATGAGACAGCCTCAGTATGTTGTTGCTCCCTCTTCGGTTGCAGGTCCCTCAGTGACGCCGTCGCCGGTGGGGCCCTCTTTCTCACCCATGTATGGCATCCCTCTTTCAAGTAGTCAACCAATAGTTAGTGGTCCATTTCCTATCTCTTCTACCGTACCATCTAGGACGGTGGCAGCTACAGTGCCAATGTCTGGACAGCCGCAGGCTAGCGTGCAGCAACCTGTGTCAGTGGCTATGCAGCCACTGCAGCAATTGCCGGGGCAGATTCAACCTATGCAGTGGATGCCCAAGATACCCTTGCTGAGTCCTAAGCCCTTCTCTGGCGACAGGAAGAAGGACGAGGACCTGGATACCTGGTGAGGATTGTGCCTACCTATGTGAGACAAACTCACCAGGCCAGAGCAAGAAGTCATAGTTGCTGACTCCTTTTTAGAGGGATCGGCAACGCGTT